CTGCCGATCCCCCGCTTGCCAGGGGAGTGACGGCACGTGAAATGTCCGGCTGTCCCCCATCCCCTTCTTCGGTGGCACCCAAATGGCGTCTGGTCGCAAAGACGACCCCGCAAACGATGAAAGACTGGAGGAAGGCCGGCTTCTGAGGCAATCTGGCGCGCTGATCTTCCAGTGACGGCGGCCCGTCATGGGCGCGGACTTCTGCACGCGAGACCGCGCTCGCTCGCTCCCCGATCCCCTTCTTGAGAGCATGTTTTAAACCGCGGCGATACGCGGGCGTTCTGGGGGGGTGCGGACTGGTGGCGGGGTATAAATCAAGACCCCCTCCCCGCCCGCAAGCCGTCTCGCTGACTCCCGGCGCCGTCGCCGCCGCGCCGCCGCCGCCGCCGCCGCCCGCCGCCGCCGCCGCCGCGCCGCCGCCGCCCGCCGCCGCCGCCGCCGCCACCGCGCCGCCACCCGCGCCGCCCGCCGCCGCCGCCGCCGCCGCCGCCGCCGCCGCCCCCGCTGCCGAATCGCCGCCGCCGCAGCCGCTGCCCCCGCCGCAGCCGCTGCCGCCACCGTTGCCGCCGCCGTCGCCACAGCCGACGCCGCCGCCGCCACCCCCGCCGCCCCCGCCGCCGCCGCCCCCGCCGCCGCCACCGCCGCAACCGCCGCAGCCGCTGCCCCCGCCGCAGCCGCAGCAGCCGCCACCGCTGCAAGTGTACTCTGTATTGTTTTTGTGACAGGGATGGTGGGGGGAGGCCGCATCGGGTTCGCTGCGCATGTTCCGACTTTGGAGGCAGAGTGTGTGTTTGTATTGTTCCCCCAACAACTTGCTGAACGGGGTGCTGTGCTGTTGTGATAGAGGGGGAGCTGAAGTGCAATATCCCCAAACAGGGTTTTTACACCGAGTGCGGTTTCCAAGGTCGATTGCGTGCCCGTCCAGTGCGGGCTGGCATGGCATGTTAGAACGTGCCTCCTCCTCCTCCTCCTCCTCCTCCTCCTCCTCCTCCTCCTCCTCCACCTCCTCTTCATCCCGAACGGCATCTCGGAGCCCAGAGTTGCGACGATGTCTCAGGCGAAACGTGCTGCGAGGAAGTCTCAGGCGAAACGGGCCGGACCACCTCGAGCGCGGCGTCTCAGAGCTCCGAGTTGCGGGGGCCTCCTGGGACCTCCTGGGGCCTCCTGGGGACCTCCTGGGGCTTCCTCCTGGGCCTCCTGTGGCCTCCTGGACCCCACCTGGGGCTTCCTGAAGCCTCTTGGGGCAACCCAGGGGGGAATATCTCACATGTGGCCGTCGCGGCCCTCAAAATGGGGGGGCACAAGAGCAGGAAAAATCAACGAATCCACACTGGATGTATATTAGCTTGACACGTTCTGATGGGGAGCCTCCTGGGGCCTCCCGGGAGCCTCCTGGGAATCTCCTGGGGACCCCTGGGGCTTGTCCTGGGCGTCCTGCGGCCTCCTGAAGCTCGCTGGGGCCTCCTGGGGCTCCCAGGATCCCAGGGGGGATATGTAACATGTGGTCTTTTGGGCTCCCAGGCTGGACCACCTCTTGCGCGGCATCTGGGAGCTCAGAGTTGCGAGAATGTCTTGTGCGAAACGGGCCAGACCACCTTGCGCACGGCATCTCAGAGTTCAGAGTTGCGAGGATGTCTCAGGCGAGACGGGCCAGACCACCTCGCGCAGGGCATCTCGGAGCCCAGAGTTGCGAGGATGTCTCCAGCGTAACAGGCTGGACCACGTCGCGCGCGGCATCTCGGACCCCAGAGTTGCGACGATGTCTTGGGCGAAACGTGTTGCGAGGAAGTCTCAGGCGAAACGGGCCGGACCACCTCGAGCGCGGCGTCTCAGAGCTCTGAGTTGCGGGGGCCTCCTGGGGCCACCTGGGGCCTATTGGGGACCTCCTGGGGCTTCCCCCTGGGCCTCCTGTGGCCTCCATGTGGTCACAGTACATTTCACGGAGGATGAGCACGACGGACGTTGTTGGTGGACGTCCGCCCTTGCCCTCTCCCCCCCGGTGAGGACCATCATAGGCTTTACCAGTGAGGACCTCCATGAGGCCTCACACACCTCGCAGTTTCCATCATTGGAACTGCGGGGGTCGAACAAATCCCCACAAACCTGGCACCGTACGTGCATTGCCAGGGGCGGCGGCCCGTCTTCCCATCTTACAATCATAGGGGGATGCGAAGCCCCTGAAGACGGGACGGGGTGGGCACGAGCGGGCATCATAGCCGGCTCAAAATCAAAAGAGGCATCATAGCCTGATCAATCTAGATTGATCCACTCACGGATCCACTGCAATTGATTTTTATTGAATTCATTCCATGCCTGACATGCTCTCCCCTAATGGACCGTGAACGGGACCCAGTCCCCTGCCGGTCGTCTAGTGCCGCCATCATAGGCAACCAGAGGGGCCATCATAGGCACCTCGCACCCAATTCGGGGCCATCAGCAAGGCTCGTTTTGGGAAGAAGGACCATCATAGGCCTTCGCGCTCAATTTGTTCATTGAACTCAACTTTCTCGTCGTCGTCGTCGTCCTGCTCCTCCTCCTCCTTCTCCTCCTCCTGGTCTCCACCCCATCGGAGCCGCGATACAAGCAATGCGGGCAGCACCTCGACCTCGATCGGGTCGTGCTCGTGAATGTGACGGTTTCCGTGATCATGGGTGTGTTCACCGTGCGTTTCAGGGAGTCCGCAATCGTATGTCGGGTCGTGCTCGTGAATGTCACGGTCTTCTTGTTCATGAGTGTGGTCACAAAGCATTTCACGGAGTCCGCAATCATAGGTCGGGTCGTGCTCGTGTGTTTCACGGTCTTCGTGATCATGAACGCGATCACAATGCATGTCACGGAGTCCGCAATCATAGGTCGAGTCGTGCTCGTGAATTTCACGGTTTTCGTGGTCATGACCGTGGTCCCGGTGCGTTTCACGGAGTCCGCAATTATAGGTCGGGTCGTGCTCGTGAGTGTCACGGTCTTCTGATTCATGAATGTGGTCACAATACATTTCACGGAGGATGAGCACGACGGACGTTGTTGGTGGACGTCCGCCCTTGCCCTCTCCTCCCCGGTGAGGACCATCATAGGCTTTACCAGTGAGGACCTCCATGAGGCCTCACACACCTCGCAGTTTCCAGCATTGGAACTGCGGGGGTCGAACAAATCCCCACAAACCTGGCACCGTACGTGCATTGCCAGGGGCGGCGGCCCGTCTTCCTTTCTTACAATCATAGGGGGATGCGAAGCCCCTGAAGACGGGACGGGGTGGGCACGAGCGGGCATCATAGCCGGCTCAAAATCAAAAGAGGCATCATAGCCTCATCAATCTAGATTGATGCACTCACGGATCCACTGCAACTGATTTTCATTGAATCCATTCCATGCGTAGCATGCTCTTCCCACCTGGGGCTTCCTGAAGCCTCTTGGGGCAACCAGGGGGGGATATCTCACATGTGGCCGTCGCGGCCCCAAAAATAGGGGGCACAAGAGCAGGAAAAATCAACGAATCGGCACCGGATGTGTATAAACTTGACACGTTCTGATAGGGAGCCTCCTGGGGCCTCCTGGGAGCCTCCTGGGAATCTCCTGGGGACCCCTGGGGCCTGTCCTGGGCGTCCTGCGGCCTCCTGAAGCTCTCTGGGGCGCCCTAGGGCTCCCAGGGTCCCAGGGGGATATGTAACGTGTGGTCTTCTAGGCCCCCAGGCTGGACCACCTCTTGCGCGGCATCTGGGAGCTCAGAGTTGCGAGAATGTCTTGTGCGAAACGGGCCAGACCACCTTGCGCACGGCATCTCAGAGCTCAGAGTTGCGAGGATGTCTCAGGCGAGACGGGCCGGACCACCTCGCGCAGGGCATCTCGGAGCCCAGAGTTGCGAGGACGCCTCCAGCGTAAGGGGCTGGACCACGTCGCGCGCGGCATCTCCGAGGTCAGAGTTGTGAGGATGTCTCAAGCGAAATGGGCTGGACCACCTCTTGCGCGGCAGGTCAGAGCTCAGAGTTTCGAGGACGTCTCAGACGAAGCGGGCTGGACCACCTCTCGCGCGGCATCTCCGAGAGCAAAAGCGCGAGGATGTCTCAAGTGAAACGGGCAGGACCACCTCTTGGGCGGCATCTCGGGGCTCAGAGTTTGGAGGATGTCTCAAGCGAAACGGGCCGGACCACCTCTCGCGCGGCATCAGAGAGAGCAGAGTTGGGAGGATGTATCAGGCAAAACGGGCCGGACCACCTCGCGCACGGCATATCAGGGCTCAGAGTTTGGAGGATGTCTCAAGCGAAACGGGCCGGACCACCTCTTGCGCTGCATCTCGGAGCCCTAAATTTTGTGGATGTCTCAGGCGGAACGGGCCGGACCACCTTTTGCGCTGCACCTCAGAATTCACAGTTGTGAGGATGTCTCAAGCGAAACGCGCCGGACCACCTCGCGCACGGCATCTCAGATCTTAGAATTTGGAGGATGTCTCAGGCGACACGGGCCGGACCACCTCTCGCGCGGCATCTGGGAGCTCAGAGTTTGGAGGATGTCTCAGGCGAAACGGGCCGGACCACCTCGCAAGCGGCATCTGGGAGCTCAGAAAATCGAGGATGTCTCAGGCGAAACGGGCCGGACCACCTCTCGCGCGGCATCTGGGAACTCAGAATTTGGAGGATGTTTCAAGCGAAATGGCCAATCCTGGCCAACTCAGAAGCGAGAGTTGCGAGGATGTCTCAAGCGAAACGGCCCTGACCGTCAGATTTTTGTGAGGATGTCTCTGCTCCCCTTTCCCTCCGCCGGAGGTAGCTTCTATCACAACAACACCCCGTTCAGCAAGCTGTTTGGGTAAAAATTTGATGGTTCGGGCCGTTTCGCTTGAGACATCCTCACAATTCTCGTTTCTGAGTTGGCTGGGATTGGCCGTTTCGCCTGAGACATCCTCGAACAGTTGCGCGCCGAGACGCCGCGCGAGAGGTGGTCCGAGCCATTTCGCTTGAGACATCCTCGAAACTCTGAGCCCCGAGGTGCAGTGCGAGAGGTGGTCC